GAGACAAGGATGCCAGGGATGTTTCTTCAAAACATACAACAACCCTGAGTTACACCTGAGAACATCTCAACAAAGCAGCGAATTGTAGAACAGAAGTTTGTTGGTGAAACCAAAGCTCAGTTTATGAAAAACATCCACATCCAACGAGAATTGTGGGGTCAAGTTTTTCCTAAGTTGTCTTTTCCCAGGCTATTAGTTGGAGGGGAGGCAGGTGCAGGTGGATCTAAGCGTTGGAGGATAGAGGCCAATAGGATTTTGGCTGAGCCCAAGGTCAGTCTGGAGAGAGCTAGCAGGACCCTGAGTGTCCTAGATCCTCTTCATTAGGGTCCAGCTCTGGGAGGGCCAGAGGTACTTACAACAGCCAGTGAAGAGAGGTACCACCCTTTTCTTACGCAGGTATCGCGTGAACTTCAGACCCAGATATGTCACCAAGTACAAGCAGGTGACACAGTTGGAATGGAAGTGCTGCCCTGGCTTTAGAGGAGCAGACTGCCAAGAAGGTCCCAGAGACCCCATGAAGACTCCACGCCCCACGCCCGCTCGGCCTCGAAACAGCTTGAAGAAACCCACAGGTAACTTCTTACCTGTGCTTGGCTGTGTATGGGCACCACTATCATTTCCAGTGCTCTTTGAACAACAGGACTTAAGATTTACCTTGTTGAGCTCTCCAAGGTCTTCAAAGAACACAAATATATGCCTGCAGTAGATACATGTGGCACACAAATATATTTGCAGAAGCAGTAGCATTTGGAAGGCAAACTCTGCAAGTAAACGGCTTCTTTAGGGCCAACTTATGAAAGCCAAGGCCTTAGAAATCAGTGTAGGAGATGCTGATGGTTTCAGACTTGTGTAGACTGAGGCAGAGATGAGAAGATGCAATGATGCTTTGTTTGTTTTTACTTTACTTTCATCTATAAGCTCCCACAAATCTATATTTAAAGGAATTAAAATTGTTTTTTAAAAAATAGGTAAATAGAATCATTTTCATTCTGTTTGAGAATATACAAAGCTAAGCCCCATGTTAGAAGCATCCAATGAGGTTTCTCTTACATTTGTTTCTGAATTTCGTTTTTTGAAGTGAAGTAGAACAAACCCAATGAATAGCTGAGAAAACAGTGATCATTTTCACCTACAGTGCACCTTTGCTTTTAAGTGTGACATTGAGAGAGTGACTCGTATGGATAAATTTTTTTGGGCTTTTTTTCTACATCATTTTATCTTTCCTCTTTTTAAAGTCGAGTTAGTAAATTTGACTTAGATTTTCTCATAAATTAAATGTTTAAACTGTTTTGAAATGATCATATTTTCCCATTAAGTGTTTCGGTTTTGAAACTGGTAGTTTATCCCAACGTTATCTCTAAAATAGATTTTCAAATGATGTTTTATTACAAAAGGAATGCATATCAATTAAAGAATGCATGTCAATTATAGAACATAGAAAAATATTAAAATATACATAATCTCACCACCAAGTGATAACTACTGTTAATATTTTGTTACAGAACATTACTCTTTCTTGTGTCAGCACAGACATTTTATGAAAGAATATCTATAGTTCACAAATATTTATTGAGCTTCTTTATCTATACTAGGTACTTGGGAAAAGGAAAAAACAAGGCAGGCATAATCCCTGACCTCACTGAAAACAAACATTAGACAAGTAATTACAATAAATCATGATAGGTATTATGATAGATAGGCACACATGAAGGGGGATCTCTTGGAAGACAATAGTTTATTTCTGTTTTGTTTAGTTTCAGTTTTCATTTTATAAAAGTTTAAACATGCACGTAGTTTAAAGAGTCGAGCAGCTTTGTAAGGAAAAGCGGTTATTCACCTCCTCCACTTTCCCTTCCAGGGGTAACCACTTTAAATGCTTCAGGCACTCTTTCGGAATTTACCTCCATATCTATTGACTTCGCATTATGGAAGGTGAAGATTTGACTCCCTTTCATCTGCTCTCCAAAGCGCTGCTCCTATACTTTCATATTTTCCATACAGTTATACCATGTTTTTATTTATTCAACATTTGCTGTTTACATTGTAGTAACTATGTATATGTTTACAGCTGTAGTGTACTATGAATATGTTGCCTTTCACACAGCCTTTTGATTTCTGTAGAGTTAATCACCTTACATTTTTCTCTGCTTGGTTTTCTGTTTCTATCCCTATTTTAACCCCAACTTTCCTGTGATTATCAAGTGTCCTCTCATTATATTCAGATACATTAGTTTCGTCTTCCTTAAGAAATCTCTCCTAGAGCCTCTCTCCTGCCCCACCTGGACTTCCTCTTCCTGTGTCACAGCTGCCGACCTGTGATCTTAACTCTCCTATTGAATCTTGTATCCCCTGCTTGCTCTTTCTCAATTTACTCCTTTTTTTTTTTTTTTTGGTGGCGCACATCTAGTAGTTTCATGAGATGATTGGATGGGAGATAAACTTTTTAGTATTTTATAGTCTGAAAATATTTTTACTTTAGTTTCGGGATTCTAGGTTGGAAATAATTTTCCTTTAGACTTCGAAAGTATTGTTCAATTTTCTTCTAGTTTCTAATGCTTCCAAAACCATTCTGATTTCTAACTTTTTATGTGTGACTTGATTGTCTGTGTGTGTGTGTGTTTTGTCATTTTAGTGGGATAACAAAAGGAAATGAAAGGAAATGCTTACCTCAATCCACTATCATTAAAAAGAACATACTATTTTTGGAACTTATTTTTTAACTTAATCAATACTGAACAACCTTCCATGTCATTAAATATTCTACAGTGTCATTTAATGGATTTATAAAGTGTGATTATTTGAACACACTCCCCTACCGATGGTCGCTTAGATTGTAAGTTTTCATTTTTAGAGATATCTGAATAAGTATTTTTTCCTGTTAAATGTTTGGATTCATCCCTGATTATTCAATAGAATAAATTTCTAGAAGTATAATTGCAGGATCCAGAGGATTCTGAGTATTTTGATACATATTGCCAAATTATCCTTTCATAAAGTTATAGCAATTCCCACAGTCACCAGTAGAATATGAAGAAGCATTTCCTTACATCCCGATCTTCCCCTACCCTCCTGCCCTTTGTTTTTATTTCCTTTGCTCAGAATAGCATTTCATGTGTTTGTGATTCAATAACTTTTCTTCTTCTACTGTCTTAAGATAGAAAACTTTTTCAGCATGGAAAATAAGATGTTCTTTACAGTTCTCTGCTTGGGAATTTGGCCATCTGAATTTGAGTCTTGGTTTTACCACTAAGTTGATTTTAATAATAGCAGTTGTTAAGATTGTATGCAAAAGTTTAGAGGAGTTAAAAAAAAATGAATGTTGAAGTCAAATATCTACAACATTCTAAATTTACTTCCAGTGTTTGTCAGTGTACATTGGTGGATTTTATTCCACTGCAATCTATTTTGTGTTTGACTTTAGCCACTTTAGATGATATGTCTCAATATAACCCGCTGGCTCGTCGACATTAACTCCTTGCTAGTATTCCTCATATCCTACTGTGCATTTAAGGGCATGGTTTGCTTCTTATTATCTTGTTGCCTCAGGTTTAGATAATCTCCTTTTTGTTTAATTTATTTTTCTCTCTATCAGTTTATTTTTTACTTTATGACTCATCACAATCATCTTTATAATATTTATTTTCTTTCTCTTGGACTATTTCCTTGGGGGTGTATTTCTCAAAGTAGAATTATCAGAAATTCAGTGTTTGTTTACTTTGACTTAGTGAACCTTCCCACATATGGCCATGTGGCTCCCATTGTTAGGAGATACCAATAGAATCGGTAACTATATTTTTCTTTTGCTTTTAGTTTCCTCAACTGCATAATAATGCTAAACAATGTCTATGAAACTCTTTTAGCATAGGGATGTTAAGAAAAGTAAGAGAACATTTAGGGGTTACACGGAGGATAACTTACTGCTCATATGATATCATATCACCCAACAGCTCATGGGTAGATCTCGATAAAGTGGCTTCTTGTGGTTTTACAGTAAGCAGTCAACCATTGGGGTGTGGCTACAGTTCATTAATATGGGGATGACGTGTTCATACAATAAAGAAGATAAAGAATATTTCCCTTCAGGACGAAAGAGACCATTGAGTATCTACGATGTGCCATGTATATATTCTCTTAACCCTAGAAGGGAAGAAAGTAGTTCTGCTTTATAGATGAGGGACTATAGTTCACAGAAGTTAATTAACTTGCTCAAGGGCAGACAGTAAACTGCAGAGGCAGAAGGCAAGTGAAGGTTTTTTTAACTCAAAGCCCAGAGTCTTTTCCATTCTACCACAATAATTACCTGTGGTGAGAGCAGATCTGGAAATGAAGGTTTCAGTATTCCTTAAGTACCCTGTTTATTGTCTTTGCAGAAACTGCGTAAAGATAGAAAATGTTAAATCATGTCCAACTCTTTTTTTGTAACAGACAATGAACCAAGCCACGTCTCAGAGCCCAAGAAGACTTTGTCACTAACTCCAGCAGCAGAACCAAGTCAGACAGTAGATCCAAAGCAGGGTCCCCAAGAACTTCAGGATAAGAAAATCCAGGTGCTTGAGGAAAAGGTTCTTCGACTCACAAGGACGGTTCTTGATCTCCAGTCTTCCATTGCTGGAGTGAACGAAAACCTCAAACATAGCATTCAAGATGATGCCAGCAAAATGCTGGCATCATGGCTTAGTAACATGCACCCCCAGCCAGTGCCTGACAGTGCTATTGGTGGAGATACAGAAATAGTCCAGCTTCCTGGTGTCCTCAACAATACGGAATCTGGCATGAAGGACATTAAGTCTGAATTGGCCGAAGTCAAGGATGCTCTGAGGACCAAGAGTGACAAGCTGGAAGAGCTGGATGGGAAAGTGAAGGGTTATGAAGGGCAACTCAAACAGCTCCAGGAGGCTTCCCAGGGCCCCATAGTGACCATGGCGACCAGCGAAATCTACCAAGCTTATGTTGATAGTAGGATTGATGCCCTGAGAGAGGAGATCATGGAGGGAATGGACAGAAAGCTGGCTGATCTGAAGAACTCGTGTGAGTACAAGCTGGTTGGTCTCCAACAGCAGTGTGATGACTATGGGAGCAGCTACCTAGGAGTGATCGAGCTTATAGGAGAGAAGGAAACAAACCTGAGAAAAGAAATAGATGACCTTCGAGCTCGGATACAGGATCCTTCAGCCCAGTCAAATTGCTGCGATGGTGAAAGGAGTGGTGACTTTGGGCAACAGATCAAAATATTAGACCAGAAAATCGAAAGAGTTACTGAAGCTACAAGAATGCTGAATGGACGAATGGACAATGAGTTTGACAGACTCATAGTTCCAGAGCCAGATGTGGACTTCGATGCAAGATGGAATGAACTAGATGCAAGGATCAACGTGACAGAGAAGAATGCAGAAGAACATTGCTTTTACATTGAAGAAACTCTCAGGGGGACCATTAATGGAGAGGTGGATGACTTGAAGCAACTTTTTGATCAAAAAATACAGTCTCTGGAAAAGCGTCTGGGGAGCGTTCTCCTAGAGACGGCCAACAGCACTGATGCGGAACTCGCACCCCCATCATCAGCCCTACCAGGTATGTCAGGGGCTGGGGGCGAACAGGTCCTAATGGAATTAAACCGCTTGAAGGACAAAGTTCAAGTTGTCGAGGATGTTTGCCTGCAGAACTTCCAGGGAGAGCTTCATAGGACAAAAGATACTTTGCCCCATGGAGAAGACCACACAGTGGGTGACAGTTTGAGCCTTTTGAAATCTCTAAATGACACGATGCATAGAAAGTTTCAAGAAACCGAACATAGCATCCAGAAACTTCAACAAGATTTTAGTTTTCTTTATGCTCAACTAAACCACACGGAAGACGATATGAATCATCTTCAGAATCAGCTGAGCAAGTGTAAAGAAGGTAAAAACGCTGGAGTGGGTGGATTTTCTAAGGGGGGTGAGCGAGGAAGGGCGGTGGAATCCCTCCCGTCTCCCCAGGCCCCCGTGGCGCATTGCTGTGGCCAGCTGGAGGAGAGGTGGCACAGGCTGCAGAGCCAGGTCCGTTCGGAGCTGGACACGTGTAAGGAAAATACGCATGGGGTCCAGAGGGAGTTCTCCGTGGTTGAGGACAGGGTTTCTCAAATGGAGAAAACCTGCAGCAAACTGGACTCCATCTCAGGAAATCTTCAGAGGATAAAGGAAGGGCTTAACAAGCATGTCAACAGCCTGTGGAGCTGTGTCAGGCAGATGAATGGGACACTCCGGTCACATTCCAGAGACATTTCTGGCCTGAAGAATTCTGTCCAGCAGTTTTATAGCCACGTTTTCCAGATTTCTACTGACTTGCAAGATCTGATCAAATTTCAACCATCAGCAAGTAAGTTAACCTTGACGATATCATTTCTTGTATGTGTCTGCTAGATTTTGGACAGTTTGTGGAATTAACTACATCACTGCTCCCAAAGTGTGCTTCTTAGCCTGGCGCCAGTTTGTGAATCATTTGGTGTTGTGTAGTAATGAAATAAATACCAACATTGAGAGGAAGTATTTAGAAACTTTTAAAATAACTTGACATCCTGTAGCATTCAAGCGCATGCGTGTGGCCTACGTTCAATAACTGTCTTCTGGCCCAGCACACATCTCCTTTGTGTCTCCCAGAGTTGAATGCTGACTTATGGGGTCCATAGGGACTTGTCGAGGGCCAGCTGTGTGTCCAGAAGGACCCCACTTCCTGACCTGCCCTCTCCCTGTTTTCTTTTTTTTCCTCTCCTCCCCTTTGGGCCTTTATCACCTTTTCACCTTGCTCAGCTCCAGGTGACAAAGTCCCTTATGCATTGAGGCCTGGTGGGAACCTATAGTATTTTATGATTGAGTCCTAGTTGAGACATAAAACCTGATGAGGGGAAGTCTGAAGCATGAGAGGCTGATGAGCCCTGGCCTGGCTGGGGAGAGCGGAGGTCAGGTCTTTAGGAGGCGTGGGGAGGGTCTGAGGTAGTCAGAGATAAAGGGTTTATAGATAAGGAGTCACCCAGGCCACCAGGAGCAGGAAGCTGGCCAGTGTCGGGCCCACTATGCCACACTATTTATAACTCTCCCCCACCTCACCAGGCCCATGGCACCTCCTGTATCTCTGGTATGTGGAATAAAGTTCACAAGACTATGTTTTCATAGAATGATTGTCCCTTGTAGTGACAGTGCTGTCTGGACAGTGCTTTATAATAACAGATTGAACCCGATATTTCCAGTTGATTTGCAACTCCCAGGCGGTGTGGGATGCTGCGTTAACGCTTTTACACTTGTCTGTTGAAGTAGAGGTTAGAAGTGAATGCCTTTAAAGAGAAAGGGACTTCCAAAAGAGTATCCTTTTGGAATGAACTCATTGTTGTGAATGTGAAGTGCATGGACTTTTGGAAATTTCATTGATTGCAATGAGCCAAAAAGAACCAAACAGAGTTTTATCTGTCATTGTATAGCATCCAGGCCAGGAGTTCTGTGACCTGAGTATCCTGAGTATCAGGGCAGGTCAGGAGTTAAGGTCACAGTGAAAGTCACATGTCAACTAGTAAGCAAAATATTTATTGCGCACCTACTATGTGCAAGGCTCTGTGCGGAACATAGATGAGTAGCACGATCCTCACCTTCAAGGCATTTTCAGTGACTGTGGTAAAGACACACACAGGTCTGCAGAGAGAGTGAATGAGACCATAGGTAAAGGCCCAGTGAGCAGGGTAGGGTTTAGTCTTTCAGTTAATAGGATCTTACTGAATGAACTCTTATTGTGTGGTAAACTATGTGTGTGGAGTATGTGGTTGACAATGTATGTGACGGTGAGAGTCTAAGGGAAAACGAACAAACAGACAGAGATGGTCACAGGAATGGGTGTGTGGGTGCACTGTACTTGTGGAGAAGCACTCACGGCCGCTGTGGAAGTTGGGGAGTGCTTCTCAAAGAAGAGAGCCGCTGAGCCGAGCCTCCAAGGTTGGGTAGGTTGAGGGTTCAGAGGCTGACAGGGTGAGGAGTGAGGTATAGTGATGAGCGAAACTTCTGGAAGTTGTTCCTGGAGCTAATAATTGAGGAATGGGTCGGGTTCAGAAGAGCAGCAGGAGGGAGGGCCTATCTGGTGAGGAGTCGGTGTTTTGCCGTATAACAGCCTACCCCAAACCTTGCTGGCTTAAAGCAACAAAGTGTATTATTTTCCACTATTCTGTGGGTCAGGAACTTGGCAGGGCTTGGCTTGGCAGTTCTTCTCCTTTTGGCATCGGCTCAAGTCAGACACTTGGCTGTAATCAGCTGGCATTGGGCCTGGCTGGACTGGGCTGTCTAGGAAGACTTCATTCACACGTCTATACCTCAGGACTTCTCCACTTAGCCTTTCTCTCTCTCTTTCCCGCCATGTGGCTAACTTGGGCTTCTTCATGGCATGGTGGTCTCAGGGTAGTCAGATTTATTACACAGCAACTGGCCATAAGGGAAGGTGAAAGCCGCTGGGCTTCTTCCAGGCTAGGCCCAGAGCTGGCATGGTGTCACTTCTGCCACAATCTGTTGGTCAAAGCAAGTTAGCTCTTGAAGGATGATGTGGCTTGTACGTGTTGAGAGGGAGGGAATGCTAATGATAGTCTTCGTATCTCCCACCATGATCAAAGCGCCGGGGGTGAGAATGCATAATGTAGCGGATACAGTAGCCAGGGACCAGATTGCTGGACGGAGGATGCAGACTCTGGTGTCCCACTCAGTCCACTGCCGTGTCCACGGATCCCATTCTTTTCTTCAGAAGCACCCCCAAAAGGGGCTGAATTACCCAGGAGGCAGCCAGTAGGGGAGCAGAGGAGTTTCAGCTGATGCTCAAATAGATCCAAATTTCTTTCACGTCCTTCCCGTTAGTGCAGATGTTTGGTTATTTGGGGGGACAAAAGGTCCATGACTTTCATCTAGGACTTGGACAGGTAGGTGCCTACTTTCCAAAAAGTGAAGAACCACTGTATTTTCTTACCTTCAGCTCAGTGAGGTGGGTGTGATACTTCTCTCCTGGCTCCTGTACACTCCCACCCATTCATTCATTCAACGAATTTTTACTGAATCATGTCCTAGTGCTGAAGTTTCACCCCTCATGGATCTTACACTATAGTTGGAAAGACAGACAATGCTTAGCCAGGCAAATACAGATCTGATTTCAGCTAGCGATCGATGTGAGGAAAGGTACAGCAGAGGAAGGTGGTAGTGACTAGAGAACAATGTATTTTAGGGGAGTGGTCAGGGAGGGCTGCTCAGTGAAGATAACATTTGAGCAGAAATACGAATAAAATGAGGGGTCAAGCTCTGCAGACATCTGTGGGACAAGTGTTCCAGACAGAGGGAACAGTGTGTTCAGAGGCCCTGAGGCAGGAACAAACTGGCCCTGTTTGAAAACCCCAAATGCCAGTTTGATCAAGTCTGTGGGCAGGGGGGAAGGTTATAGGCAGTGAGGGCAAAGAGAGTAGGAACCAGATCATGTAGCATTTTATAGGCCATGATAAAGGATTCGAAGTACAACGAGACACTATTAGAGGATTTTGAGCCAGGAAGTGATCGTTATTTCCCAGGTTTACAATTCCAGCTACTCCATATTTTCTCTGTGACTTTGGGCAAGTTATTTATCTACTTAACGCCTTACTTTCTGCATCTATTAATTGGAAATAATATTAATACCTCAAAAAGTTGGTATGAGGATTAATAATCCTAAATGGAGTATCGAATAGTCCTTGGTAAACACTCAATTAATATTACCCCCTATTTTAAGGCTCTGTCCCGTCTAATGGATGTTTAATCTGCACCCTTCCTCCTTCTACAAAGCCCCAGGCCGGAGCGGCCTGTCAGCACAGGGATGCGGGATGAGAGCTCTTAATGTTTCTCTAGAGAGCCAGAGGGTGTTTCCTCCCTCTTTCCC